CAATATAAGGGGCAACCGCAATCTTGTCTAGGGCACCAAAATGGTTCTGACACTACGCACTGCATGGCTAATACCTTCAAAGCGGGCCTCAACGATTAAAACAGAGGCTGGTTTTATGATGAACATGACTAATGAGATATTAAATCATCTCAAGTGAATAGTCTAGAATGCTGTTCTTCCCTTTCTGCATTATAAGCCCTTCTCAGACTGCTTTTTGCACAAAGTGAAGTAGCTAAGCTCAACCGTCATCACATCTTTGTACATTCATATTGATTCTTCTAAACATCAAGTTTACAGCAAGATCACACCAAACAACGAGGTGACACACCACACACTACTCTCTGCATGGGCTAATATCTCCAGCTCTAACTTGATCCTACCTGAGAGCAACACCAAACTCTCTATGACACATACTCTGTCTTTTATACATGCACAAACACACACACACACACACACGCACACACACACACACACACACACACACACACACACACACACACACACACACACTATTATTTAATTACTAATGAATAGAAGGAAACATATGTATGCGCCTCGACAATAACTTCCATATCTAAAACTAACCCTCAAAAATAACAGTAACCACAACGTGTCCAACCTGCTCAACACTATGATGAAGCGCGCATTGTGTGTGCATTGTGTGTCAGCTCCACTCCAGTACGGCTCACACAATACATAACACAAACTAAACCACAGCTTTATGTAGAAGAAGAAGGATAACTTCAGGATTACAATTCTGGATTACTGTGCCCAAATACTCCAATAATGCTGGTTTATTGAATGCCTAACAGGGGGCACCAAATATGCAGGGACTTGATGTGGCAAATGTTGCTATTAGATTCATATTAATAAATATAATTCATGATTATCAATGGAAATTAACAAATATATTAATCTGAATTAATAACTATGGGGCTCTACCCTGGAATCAGGGAATTAAAATGGAATAGCACAGGAAGAAAGTTTTATGTGTCTTTCTCTAGGTACTGGTGGGCTGTCTGCAGCATTCCTGTCCGGTCGCGTTCAATAATGTTGAAGACAACTAGTGAGAGAAAAAACTCTTGGTGCTCAACCAGCTAGTTGCTGAATGCTGCAAAACTCTTAAAATCCCATTAAAGCTGGGAATATGAGACAGATGTCCTAGAATGCAAAGCAGGGCAAGCACATGAGAGACGAGGAACAACGGGACAGGGACTCCCTGCTGTTATCCCAGAGATCTTTACCGATTAGGTAACTGAGTCCAGGTTCTCCCTACAATTCACACCATGGTGTGAGGTACTGCAGGGAATTCTGGGAATCAAACATTTTGCAGGGCCTTTCTTAATTTCCCTCCAAAATACTCAAATCAGGCTCTTATATGTGGCTTTTCCATCATTGATTATCTATCAAACATTGTTTTTTATCAATTTACAAACCATATTCACTTTTCACCTTCTAACATTAAACTGTATTTTGTTTTCTCAGAATACTGTTCTGTAGCTGATGACCAGGGACACACGCTGTGGCTCCATTTGGATTCATTTAGATAAACACACGTATGGGTGCTTGGAGTGTTTAGAGTACATGTTCTACCTGCATGGTTAAGTCATACTATGGAGACTGATGCTTGCTTGTTGTTGGTGCATCTTACAAGCCTCTGTTGCATGTGGTTTAGCGTCATGAGGGTTGTGCCGCTGTGGATACTAAGAGTCAGATGTTTTAAATAAAAAGTATCTTTGAAGTATTTAAAGTTTTGTAATGTCTCTGCTATCTGTTTAAATTCTGAATAAATATATACAGTATTTCTGATTTCATGTTTGTTTTTTGGCATAATCAAAAAAATCGTCTTACAAGAAGTGCACCTTATATTCTGTGCATGGGTGTGTTTCACACCATTTTAAAGGTTCAGCCTCCTGTTTCGAAGCTTTAGGCCAAACTGCTGGGCAGTAATCGAGGTGAGATAAAACTAATGATTGAATTGCTTGTTTTATTGTGTTTTCTGTTAGGAAATAGGCATTCTTCCTTAAAATAAAAATTCCTTGGCTCATTTTTGCAACTATATTGTCCATAAAAGTTTCTCATCAATTGTTACCCCCAACAGTTTGGCCTCTTTAATCTGCTCGATGGGTTCCCCTTGCACAGCTGTTGATCTGTCCTCAGAGCATGTCTGGAACCAAATATCAAACTCTTTGTTTTTGAAGTGTTTAACTTTAGCCTGTTTTCCATAACCCATTCAGAAACCAGCATCAATTCATCCTGAAGCATTTTGTTTAGATCCTCACTTTCTTTTGCAGATACATACATTGTAGAATAATCCGCATACATGGCAATGTTTCCAGTTTTTTAATACATGTGGAAAATCATTCGTAAATATAGCGTATAAGAGCGGTCCCAAACAGCTGCCCTGAGGAATTCCACATTGCAGAGATTTGATAATAGACAAAGTACCATTAAACAATACACATTGTTGCCTGTTGAATAAATAACTTTTCATCCAGTTAACAGCTGAAGCTCTAAATCCATATGCAGACAGTTTAACTAGTAGTAGGTCATGGTCTATGAGATCAAAAGCTGCACGAGTCCAGTAGCTATCGTACCTACTAATAACTTCCTGTCAATATCTCTCAACCAATCATCTCTTAATTGGGTTAAAGCTGTATATGTTGAATGACCGTTCTTATATGCATGTTGAAATTCAGTGTTGATTCCATTTTCAGAGAATTAACACTGAATTTGTTTGAATACAATGCCTTCCATTAGTTTGCTTAAGACGTGTAAAATGCAAGTGGTTTTGCTACAGTTCGAGCTGACAGCTGTAGAAGTTTTCTTGACAGGAAAATGTTTGTCACAAGTAGATACAAACAATTTCAGAAATAACTGTAAGGCATCTTCTGCATTCATTAGTTTACTCACATTATCCCACTGAATATTACTGGGTCCTTCAGTCATGGTGGCTCATCTCTACCTAGGTGTGATAATCGTGGCTGTTTTTGCAACATGTCTTCAATAAATGCACTTTCACAAAGGGTTTTGTAAATTCTTTTATATATCACCTTCGGCCCAGCTTTAGGCACCTTTGTTTTCCTCGCCAGAGCAATAATGTTGTGATCACTGAAGCCTACAGGTACATATTCTACCTTTGAACATGTGCCCACAGAGTTTGTGAAAATAAGGTCTATGCAAGTTGATGAGGACATGCCTGAACTCTGGATTTTAACCCTTTTTGGTAAATTGACAATTTGGATTAAATTACACAAATTAGCTACATCACTTAGTTTTATTTTCAATGTGCATGTTTTGGAAAACCAGTCAATATTCAGATTTCCTACAAAATATATTTCTCTGTCAGAGTCGATGATTTTCTGTAGCATTGTGCATTTTTCCCCTAGGTACTGTATATTAGAGCTAGGTGGTCTGTAGAAACAGATTAGGTTTAAGATGAGGTAGATGCACCTGTAAGCACAAGTACTTCCACGCTAGCTGCAGCTAGATATATTCTTGTTTTTACTGGTATATGTTCTTGAATGTAAAAGGCTACACCACCTCCATGTTTGTTTCTGTCATTTCTGAAAATGTTATACCCCTGTATAGTTACCTCTGAGTCCTCTATAGATGCATCTAAATGTGTCTCTGAAATAGCCATGATATGCACATTATTCTCCTGCAGCACATGACCTCAGTCTTGCATCTTGTTTTTTAGTCTTCAGATATTGAGATGGGCAATTTGTAGTCCTTTCTTTGGTAGTTTAATATACAGTTTAAAACATGTTTCAATTACTGCCTTTTTATTACCAGTATTTTAATGTCCTATAAACTAAGGAGACCGATCAGTGTATCTCTTTGGTTTGACAATGAGTCTGTCAAAACTGATGATAGCTTTGCAACAATGCTCCGGGGTCTTTCCTCCTCCAGTCTGAATTTTCCCCTTCTATAAAGATGGAATGAAGATGGAATTGGCCTCTAGTTTCAGCTTGGTGGTAAACAGTTCAGGCACCTTGTTTTGTCTCCTCCCATGATTCATCTGCATGATCTGAAGATAATGTTGTTCCTTCTGCTTTGATTTTCCAGATGCTCCAGGAGGTTGTCAGACTGATTTGGTGTCAAATTAAGTTGTTTCACCAATTTTTCTAGGTCCATGAAAGTCTTTTAATCAACATAATTTGTTGCATTCATTTCATCAATGTCCTTCTGAAAGTATTTTAAACTGTTACTCAGGTCCTGAGTCTCTCTCATTATTCCAACAATTCTTTTGTTGGTTGAATTCAAAATCATTTGTGTGAAACACCAAAATGACACCTCTTGTGTTTTTATAATCTCCTCATAAAAAGTATTTTCTTGATCCATCATCTCTTTGAGTGTGTCTAAAGTCACAAGCTCTGGTTCAGCTTCAGCGGCATTCTTTTGGTTTTTACGTGTAGCCATCCTCTACTTTGGTGTGTGGGTGACTCCTTTAACACAGATCACAGCTGTTAACCTGCAGCTTTAGGCCTCAGGCTGTGCTAAACACAGCAGATTGAGTAGGCCGAGGTTTTGAGAATCCCTCAGATATCACTAAATAAAAAAAACATCCAGCACTTTCCTACTACTTAAAAAAAAGAAATGGCATGAGCTATAACTTGTCAAAAAGATTTTAGATATTTAAAATAAATGTTAAAATTTCACTAGAATCACTCAAGTCTCAAATATAATCAGCTGAGGGTTGTGCTGCTGTGGATGTTAAGTGTCAGATGTTTTCAATAAAAAAAGTATCTTTGAAGTATTTTAAGTTTTGTACTTTCTCTGCTGTTTCAAATCTGAATAAATATGTATTTCTCATTTCACGTTTGTTTTTTGGTATAATTAAAAAAATTGTCTTATACAAATTACACCTTATGTTCTGTGTGTGTTTGTGTGCGGGCGTTTGCGTGTGTGTGTGTTAGGGAGGAGCTTCAGCCTTAGAAATGGTGTGAAAGAGGAAGTTCTGGTCAGACTACCCTGATCATTTCTTTTTCTCACATACATTTGTTGTTCTGATCTTTGCACCATCATTTTTGACACGATGAAAATCTTTGCGTACACTTGTTGTCTTCTCTCTGGTAAGTTTTACATTTCTAGAGCTTTACTAGAGCTTGTGAATAAACTGCAGCTTTTCAGTGACTTACTCCTTTGTTTGTTGGCTAATGTCATTGAGTCAGTAAAGTTTGGTTTGCACCATTATTGTTAATAAAAAGAAATGTACATATTTAACTTTATTTTCACCTGTAGCTCTGAGTGCAGTGCAGATGAAGACTGTCGATATAAATGGACGTGTCGGGGAAACTGTGACCATCAGATGCTTATTCTGGCCTTATATCACAGGGAATGTAAAGTACTTTTGTTCAAGTCCTTGTACAGAAGACAAACACGTTATCATCAAAGCAGGATATGAAAAGATCAACCGTAAGGATCGAATTAAGTTATTCAACAATGGAGAGGTTTTATCTGTGACCTTCACTGATCTTCAAAAGTCAGACGCTGGAAAATATTATTGTGGAGTGGAGATAGTTGGGATAGATGCATACATAAAGGTGAATGTTAACGTCAAGGATGGTAAGTAAAAACTCTTTATTTTTATTTTAAAACCATCACCACTCTGTCAAAATGTTTTAACTGTCCTTACAGCTGATAACTTAATCACTACTGTACTGTGTGTGTTTGTTTCAGCTGAGCCTTCCAGTCCCATTAAGACTCCAATAACAGTCACTGTTACTGTAACAACAACCAGCCCTGTTACATCTCCACATGTCTCTGATGGTTTTACTGACATGTCTACGACAAACCAAACCTTAAATACCACAACACTGCCTGCATCTGTGACAAAAGGAGCTGGTAAGAAGTGCACACACTCCACAACCCATTATTCTTTTAATAAATAGTTGTTAAAGAAATAAAATCGATCATAATATATGTATTTATTCATGCTGAACCTGCAGTGTGCTACAAATATTAATGTCAAATTAGATAATAAGATAAGTATAAAAAACATTGAACACCTGACTGATAAATGAAAAACAAATGTATTTCTATTAGGGCTGTCAACGCTAACCCGTTAGTCATTTGACTAACTTCATTTGCACGTTAATACAGGGTTTCATTCACCTTAAAGGTCACGTTATGCAAAACACATTTCACCATGTTTCTCTAACTCTAATATGTGTCTCTAGTCTGTCGACAAACCCCTCAATGATGAGAAAAGTCCATCCTCTCCATCTTCTTCCTGCTCCACTGTTCAGAAAATGTGTGCTCAAACAGGCTTTTTGGAGATTTTCTCCTCATGACATCACAAAGGGCAGTAGCCCCTCCCCCAGGTGGGTGACACTCCCACAGCTAGATTTTGTTCTGCCCTCTGAGTCTGCCGTCTCACCGTAGACAATAGGTCATGGAGTGAGGAAGGCCTAGCCACCCTTCCAGAGAGGGGGTGTGGTCAAACACAGCTAATTTATATATTTAAAGGAACAGACACAGAAACAGCCTGTTCTGAGCAGGGCTGAAATAGAGGGGTTCACAGACATGTTTTGGGGAGCTATGAGACTTATTTAAACTTGTTGTACAGGAGGAGAAACTTGTGACTTGTGTAAATCAGTGTAGTGATACAACAGAAAACTCAAAGTACTTGGTCTTTTTCAATTCTCTGATTTTTTTTACCTTTAAGTATCCTTTTAAAAACATTAAATCTTGAAAACAAACTATAATGCACACTCAGCAGAGAAAGGGAGACCTGCACGACAAGTGACCAAGCAGCTGAAGGCTAGTTATGACTTACTATAGTGAGGATATTACATAAAACTTAGTTTGATCATCAAGCCTGGTGTTCGTCTACAATTCTGTGAACTATCAGTGGAATATAAGACATAAGATCAGCATTATTAACACTCAGATCCTTGTTGTGAAATATCTGTCTCCTCACTGTTCTGCATTATCATAAATTCAGGGGTTGCATCTCCCCATTGAGCCATTTACAGTAATCACACTTTGAGTCGAGTGTGCCCGTATTCCGGATTGTACAGGCACACCCAAGAGCAAATACTTTTTGAAACATGCTGGATAGCATCAACAACCCAGTAAGAGCTTTATCATAAAGTGTGAACACGACTTTATTCTTCTCACCTTTTTTTTTCTCTGGTAAGGAAATATTCTACATCTGAAGATCGTTGTCATTTCCATATCAACACTTCTGATGGTCATTCTGCTTCTGATAAGAAAGATGAAAAACAAGAAACAGAGTAAGACACACAAAACACCAAACACACATCGCACACATGTGAAGCGTCACTAAGGCTTTGAGCAGACATAATGACCGATGTTTCCCCTCATCTCTTCAGAGGTTGTGTCAAGTGCTCATGTGCCACAGGAAGATGCACGGGAGGTGAGTTTTCATGAAGTTGGGAATTTATCTGAAGAAAGATCTGTAAGTGCCCTGATACATTTTCTTAGCTCAAATGAGAATCAGGATTGTTTTCTTGCTGTTAGCACTTTTTTCTTTTGATGAAGATAACACATGAAATCCCATGGAAGACATCCTTTTCCAAGGGCTTGTCATTGTTTTCTTTCCAAAATTAGACTCATAATTCCCACAAAGGAAGGCAAAACTAACATTAACCCACAAGAAATCCTTTATTCTTTAACAAGAGAGCTTCTAGAAATCAGCCAAATATTATTAGTCTCTGTGTTCACGCTGGTCACGCTCCTGATAGCAGTCAAGCCTCACTTTCCTCTCGCCTACACTTAGCACCACAATGCATGATGGTAATTTTGCTTCGTTGGTGACCTTCGGTTGTTCACTTCTTTTTACCCTGTTGTCCCACTTTTTTCTTTTTCAAGGCTGTTGAATCTGATGACATCCGACTTGAAGATCAGCAACCAGTGAGCCGACATGAAAGGTCGTCGACCCTCTACTCCCCTGCAGATCCAGACAGCATCTACATGAATTCCTCCAACCAACAAGACACCGAATCAGCAGCTCAAGGTGACAACTACTATTCAAACGACGTTCCTCTAAATCAAGCCTCCTTCTCCGGGGTCCATTCAAGAGGGGCATCTAACAGAGCAGTCACAGATCAACAATTGAACGATTTATACTCTGTTGTTCAAAAACCCAAACAGCATATCAAACCCACGAGGAAACCAAATCATTCCGGAGGCAAAGACAATGACTTTTTATTCTCTGGCTCAGCTAACAACTTAAATCTGATTACGGGGATGTAACGATACATCACGCTACAATTAAAAATTGATAGAAACGTGGACAATTTTAATCGTTGAGACAAAATATATATACTGCAATATTCAATTTCAACCAGAAGGTGCCATATTTTGTTTTATATATGCAGAGAATTTACAATTTTATTTATTTATATTCACTCCAATCTCACTTATAAAAATGTGAAATACGTGAAAAAATATATTCTAAACCAAGTATCGTGATACATATTGCATCGTGATGTCTATCTTATTCTGAGTTATCTTTACATCCTTAGTGGTTGATGTAATCAAAGACGGTACATTCTGCTATGATTAAATAATAATATTAGTTAAAGTGACTTTTTGTGACTTAAACAAAACATGATCCAAAGATCTAAACGACTCTATGGTCATTACATGACATGTTATTAATTCATTGTACAAATACCATAATTAGGTGAATAATTACAGTCAAACTTTGTATAAATATTTTGAAAAAAGACAGATTGTTAAATAGTGTATGTGTGAAGTTGCTTTTGCTTCTGCTTACACACACAATATCACTCAAACTACTGACACTTTCAATCAATCTCCTTACACAGAAACACTCATTGTTCTTTACCTTCAAAACAGAGTGTTTTATTCTGAAAATAAACTGGATGTTAATGAGGGCTCCGTACTGACGGATCTGAGAAGCAGCGCAGCGGAGCCGGTGGAAGCACACACATTGACTAAAGTAAAAACCCATCTGCCGGAACGGAGCAGAGACGGACCGAACACGCATCTGGTGGAAGTTAGGCTTTAGTGTGTGAATGAAGAAATCCCACCCAAGTATTGATAGAAGCAATATATCCATGTTTAGAGAATTGTATTGGCCACAATAGATGTCAGTCATCGACACATTTGTAATCAATAGGCCGTCAGAACAGGGGGAGGCACCTTCTTTCAACTCAGGCTCTCATTGGCTGTTATGAGGTGTCATCAAAAGGTCAGCGAATAGCAGAGTTGTTTTCTCAGTTTTGTGGATCCTTATGGATGTAACATGTTTGTCTTAAATCTTTTACTGGATTTATATTATGGGGAATCATGTTTGGTGGATTTGGTGGAATGGTTAAAAGATGCTGTCTGTGTTTGTCGCTGGTCTGACCCACACACACTGGGCCGTCAGTGTGTGTGTCTGCTGTCATGGACATGTGTAATATCGGTTTTCAAGAAGTTTTCTAACAAGTTTCAACAAAAGAATTCAACAAAGTCTTGATGCCTATGCTTAATTCCTGTTCCCTCTTCAGAATCAGAATCAGAATCCGTGTTTTTGCAGAGTACATTTACACATACAAGGAATTTGATTTGATGTTTTGGTCCAAAACAATTAACAAGGAAATATAAAAACAGCAGAGTTCCTGCGGACAGCTTTTTCTGTCATTGATTATCTATCAAACCTGTTTTTTTTTCAGTTTCTGCATCATATTCACTTTTCACCTTTTAACATTAAACTTTATTTTGTTTTCTCAGAATACTGTTCTGTAGCTGATGACCAGGGTTAAATACGAATACAAGTTCTACCTGCATGGTTAAGTCATACTATGGAGACTGATGCTTGCTTGTTGTTGGTGCATCTTACAGTCCTCTGTTGCATGTGGTTTAGCGTCATGAGGGTTGTGCTGCTGTGGATGTTAAGTGTCAGGTGTTTTCAATAAAAAAGTATCTTTGAAGTATTTTAAAATGTTTACTTTCTCTGCTATCTATTTAAATTCTGAATAAAGATATATTTCTCATTTCATGTCTGTATTTTGGTATAATTAAAAAAATTGTCTTACACAAATTAGACCTTGTATTCTGTGGGAATGTGCGTGTGTGTGTTTGTGTGCAGGCGTTTGCGTGTGTGTGTGTGTTAGGGAGGAGCTTCAGCCTTAGAAATGGTGTGAAAGGGGAAGTTCTGGTCAGACTACCATGATCATTTCTTTTTCTCACATACATTTGTTGTTCTGATCTTTGCACCATCATTTTTTACACGATGAAAATCTTTGCGTACGTTGCCCTGTGTTTTCAGTGTTTGTTACAACACCACAAGAACCTGCAGGAGAGGTGAAGTCTGCCATTTTGTGATCTGATACCTAAGAGCTGTTTTTATGGTTCTGTTAGTGAAGTAATGCATCATAGTGAACCCTGTGGCACCATAACGAAGCTCGGCAAATTTGGCTTGGAAGTTTAATTTGTTAACAGTTTAGTAACATTCATTGCATGTTGTGTTCCCAAAGAGTGGAGCAGCTGATAGAGTCTATCAATCCCTCCAGTCGATTACAATGGATGAACACCAAGTCTACAGCACGATCACACCAAACAACGAGGTGACACACAACACACTTTGCCCTACTTGGGCTAATACCTTAAACTCTAACCTGGTACTCCCTGAAAGCAACACCAAGCTCTCTATGACACACACTCTGTCTTTGATACAAACACAAACACACACACACAAATTCAGTTAATAGAAGGAAACATATATATGTGCCTCGACCATAACTTCCATATCTTAAAATAACACCAACAAATATTAATACTGACTGTCCAGCCTAGACAATAACGCAGAACTTCCACCAGATTCATGTGCATTGTGTGTGAGCTCCAACGTCCCTCCCTTTCTGTTCACACGGAGGAGTTTAGCGCAAGCGGCAGACCAAATTGACCTTGTTTAGAGCTGTAGTAGCCTGTGGTCTGCATTGTTGTGTTGGGCTATAGTGCTCTTTAGTTAGCTCTTAGCTTCACATTGCATGTAAATTGACACAGAATGACTTTGATCTAAAAACTCTTATGTGACATCCAAATAATCAGTGAGTATATTTTCTTCTTCTCTCTAGTCCTTGACTAAAACAGCTTTTATACACAAGGGGAGGAGCCGGCCATCCCGTCCATGTAAACACGGCTCTCACAACAACACAGCCAGCAGGACTCGAGCTTCTCACTCATTGTAGACAGTCATGACTCAGAGACACATTTACACAGGATACACTGGATTTCTGATATATTTATGTGTAACATGTTGCACATTCTTCCTTTAAACAAAAAACATTTCCATCATTGATTATCTATCAAACATTGTTTTTTATCAATTTACAAACCATATTCACTTTTCACCTTCTAACATTAAACTGTATTTTGTTTTCTCAGAATACTGTTCTGTAGCTGATGACCAGGGACACACGCTGTGGCTCCATTTGGATTCATTTAGACAAACACACATGTATGGGTGCTTGGAGTGTTTAGAGTACATGTTCTACCTGCATGGTTAAGTCATACTATGGAGACTGATGCTTGCTTGTGGTTGGTGCATCTTACAGGCCTCTGTTGCATGTGGTTTAGCGTCATGAGCGCTTTGTTGCTGTGGCTGTTAAGTGTCAGATGTTTTCAATAAAAAGTATCTTTGAAGTATTTAAAGTTTTGTATTTTCTAGGCTATTTTTTTAAATTCTGAATAAAGATTTATTTCTCACTTCATGTCTGTATTTTGGTATAATTTAAAAAATTGTCTTATTATTGTACCTTATGTTCTGTGCGTGTGTGTGCGTGCGTGTGTGTGTTAGGGTGGAGTTTCAGCCTTAGAAATGATGTGAAAGTTCTGGTCAGACTACCATGATCAGTTCATACATTTTTCTCACATACATTTGCTGTTCTGATCTTTGCACCATCATTTTTGACACGATGAAAATCTTTGCGTACGCTTGTTGTCTTCTCTCTGGTAAGTTTTACATTTCTACAGCTTTACTAGAGCTTGTGAATAAACTGCAGCTTTTCAGTGACTTACTCCTTTGTTTGTTGGCTAATGTCATTGAGTCAGTAAAGTTTTCTTTGCACCATTATTGTTCTACATCATTATAAAAAGAAATGTACATATTTAACTTTATTTTCACCTGTAGCTCTGAGTGCGGTGCAGATGAAGACTGTCAACATAGATAAACGTGTCGGGGAAAATGTGACCATCAGGTGCTCAGGCTGGGGCGTCTGGACGTATGTAAAAGAGAATGTGAAGTACTTTTGTCCGAGTCCTCGTACGGAAAAAAAAAACACATTATCATCAAAGCAGAATTTGGTTGGATCAAATGTAAGGATCGAATTCAGTTAACCAACAGTGAAGATGTTTTATATGTGACCTTCACTGATCTTCAAAAGTCAGATGCTGGAAAATATTATTTAATATTGAGTAGATAAGTCTATTTTTTATTATTAATGTTCTGGTTTAGTGAATCTCACACTTCCTGATGGAGTCATACTAATACTAATTTCTTCCACAAAGCCATGTCAGAACTTGGATTGATTGATTTATTTAAAGGGGGGGACCAAAGTGCCCCTCGTTTTTTGATGATCTTCTTTATGTCATTGATTATCTATCCAAATGGAGCGTAGCGTTAGTTCAGGCAGGCCACGGAGTCACACTCTGTTATCATGCCAGAGTTTCGGTAACAGCTGACCTCAGGCAGCCAAATCAGCTGATGGCCAGCTGATTTGCTTCGAAGCGTCTTATTGGCCAAATAGTACATATGCCACCTTATTTAAACTGCTCTAGCCTGCCTACTTTTGCTGCTCCCTCTGCAAGCCGCATTTCCAAGCGCATTTGCAGCCCTTCTCCTCCTCCTCCTCCTTTTCTGCTATTCTGACTTAATCTTGCTCTGTCGGGGTTTGCTGCTTATCTCCATGCCTTATAGCTTTCCTTGTATGCACGGAAAGGGCAGGAATGTGTGCTGTTCCTGGAGATCTCTCACAGAGCCATACCGCCAAATATAAATAATTGCGTCAAAGTATTCTTTTGACAAAGAATACTGACTGAACTATGTTTTTTGTCAGTTTCTGCAACATATTCACTTTTCACCTTCTAACATTAAACTTTATTTTGTTTTCTCAGAATAATGTTCTGTAGCCGATGACCAGCCGATGCGGCTCCATTCAGACAAACACACATGTATGGGTGCTACCTGTTTAAAATACAGTTTCTACATGCTTGGCTAGGTTATACTGTGAAGACAGATGCTTTTTTGTGGTTGGACGAAAGAAACGGAGCGAGGGGCAGAATACAGATTAAAATGAGAAAGGGGGGTGATAAGGAGCAAAGAGATGAGAGAAGAAGAAGGGAGGTCGTCTGAAGAGAAAAGGAGTCAGGAGTAAAAGGTCAAAGAGGCAGGTGAAGGATGAAACGGAGAGGTTAAAGAGGACTGTGTGTGTGTGTGTGTGTGTGTGTGTGTGTGTGTGTGTGTGTGTGTGTGTTGTGTGTGTGTGTGAAGGAAATGGAGGGGCTTTTGGCCCTTGGTAGGGCTGAGAGGAAGAGGAAGTTATAAAAACAGTGGTTAGACTAACACACTAAATGACTGCCCGTCCTTTTCTTCATGATGAAAATATGTGCGTACACTTGTCTTCTGTGTGGTGAGTTCATTTGATTTTTGATATTATCTGTATTTGTACGTAATGCAATTTGTTTGTAAATGCTGCAGCTGTACCAACTCGTTGTTTTTGTCCATCGGTTTGTTGTTAGTCATTACTTTCTTTTCCAAGCTCTTGGGAGCAGTTGTTCAGCTGACCTTAAATCAAAACTGATCTCTTGATGAGGTAGAAAAGCAAACAAGACAATCAGCATAACAGTGGATTAATCCTTATTACTATCATAGATGCCTGAAACTACTGCCACGAGGGGGGCTGACTTGGGATGAACTGCACACTGCAGAAACATCTTTCTTTGACAGTTCTTGATGCAAACATTTACAATGAATGATATATTTGACTGTTGAAAGAAAGCCAGATGAGGTACCGTAAAATCCGGTGCATAAAGCGCATATTTAATACCTATTTTTGAATCGAAAAATGCACTGTGTCTTATCACCAGTGCGACCGATGCACCAGTAAAACAATACACCTCGAGTGCAGCCACCACCATCACACACTGCATGCAACATGTCGCAAATTCATCCCCATTCATTGTGTATTGAAAGCTGATTGCAAGCTGTGCTGGGATACAACGCCAAAGACCAGGGGCCGTATTCACAAAGCCTCCTAAGTACTAAGAGTTTCTGCTAGTGACACAATTCTAAGAAAATTCTTAGAATCAGGACATTTTCTAAGAATTTCCCCTTAAAGTTAAGACTAGATCCTTGTAAAGATGAAAGTTATTCACAAAGCGTCTTAGCCCTTAAGAGAGCTCCTAAGGTGTAAAAATGTTAGTAGTGAGGAGGACTTTTAATAGGCTTCTCAAGCTGAGGAGGAAATGGAGAAATGTTCTGCAAATACTTCATGAAGAAGATTCATTGAATCACAGTTGTGCCGAACAAGCAAAAATTATTTGTGCAGACAAGACATGCAAGTTGAGTTTCTCTACATGTGGTTGAATTAATGCATGCATTGACACTATGACATACACTATAAACTAATTACTTTATTTTCACCTGTAGCTCTGAGTGCGGTGCAGATGAAGACTGTCAACATAGATAAACATGTCGGGGAAAATGTGACCATCAGATGCTCAGGCTGGGACGTCTTGATGTATGTAGAAGAGAATGTAAAGTACTTTTGTTCAAGTCCTTGTACAGAAGACAAACACGTTATCATCAAAGCAGGATATGAAAAGATCAACCGTAAGGATCGAATTAAGTTATTCAACAATGGAGAGGTTTTATCTGTGACCTTCACTGATCTTCAAAAGTCAGACGCTGGAAAATATTATTGTGGAGTGGAGATAGTTGGGATAGATGCATACATAGAGGTGAATGTTAACGTCAAGGATGGTAAGTAAAAACTCTTTATTTTTATTTTAAAACCATCACCACTCTGTCAAAATGTTATAACTGTCCTTACAGCTGATAACTTAATCACTACTGTACTGTGTGTGTTTGTTTCAGCTGAGCCTTCCAGTCCCATTAAGACTCCAATAACAGTCACTGTTACTGTAACAACAACCAGCCCTGTTACATCTCCACATGTCTCTGATGGTTTTACTGACATGTCTACGACAACCCAAACCTTAAATACCACAACACTGCCTGCATCTGTGACAAAAGGAGCTGGTAAGAAGTGCACACATCTCAACCTGTTACACAGGCTTCATATGACATCGACATTGACTCAGCATAAAGAAAATAATTTTGTTTTTACGGTATTAGCATCTCACTGTTAAAACATTTAATGAACACTTCGCAGTTTTAAGGCATCAACGGGGTTAAAATTCTTAAAAACAAAGATGTCTATTGATGGGAACTCAAAGACTTTTAAGTTCTAGAATTTAAAAAAAGACTTTAAACTTGTTTTTTTTTTTAAAGCTTTTTGATCTACCATTTAAAAAACCGTGGACATTGCATCATTTTTAAAGACATTGAAATTATTGAAAATAATCAAAGTTAAGAACATTTTGACGACCTTTATTCAGGCTCATACAAAATGCCCAAATAAAAATAAAATGTGCAAATTGATTAAAAAAAATATTAATTGAATGTTTCAAAACAATCTGTTGCCTTAAGCTTTCTAACTCTAGATTTTTAAATAGCATGTGCACGCCACGGCCCATCAGCGCTGCAAACTAGTGGGCTGTTCGCTGCCAATCTAGTCAATGCCCCTGTTTCCTCATGAAGTCTCTGGAACAGTGAGTTTTAAAACGGTGTTCAACAGAATAAGTAAATTATAACTATGTATTTTTACCTGTACGTTCACAGTTCAGGGTTAACCCGTGAGGAGGAGAGGAGCGAACTGCTGAAGAGAAATGTTGATCTTGTTCTTCTCCTTCTTTTCTTAGGGAGTCCTCTATATTGGATTGTAGGTTTGATTGTTACCTTGCTAACCTTGCTAACGGCTGTACTGATGGTTATCAGGAGGATGATGAAGAAGCAGCAGAGTAAGACACACACACCAACTATAGAGGCAGTTTAAGTGCATGCTAAAGATAATAATGTTTGAGATGCAAGTTACACTTGCAACACTTGAAACGTTCAGTTTCATCACTATATTTTACGCCATGCATTCATTGATTTGTAATAAGTGAAAAGTGATGTCATACTCTGCCCTGTGTTTTCAGCGGTTGTTACAACGCCACAACAACCTGCAGGAGAGGTGAGTTCTGTCATTTTGTGATCTGATACCTAAGAGCTGTTTTTATGGTTCTGTTAGTGAAGTAATGCATCATAGTGAACCCTGTGGCACCATGACGAAGCTCGGCAAATTTGGCTTGGATACGTGTAATTTGTTAACAGTTTAGTAACATTCTTTGCATGTTGTGTTCCCAAAGAGTGGAGCAGCTGATAGAGTCTATCAATCCCTCCAGTCGATTACAATGGATGAACACCAAGTCTACAGCACGATCACACCAAACAAAGAGGTAAGACACAAAACACTACGCAGAGCCGGCCCGTGGCATAGGCAGTATAGGCAAATGCTCGGGGCGCCAGCCTCCATAGGGGGCGCCAAATGAGAGATGCAGAAAAGTTGAAGAGAAGAAGAAATACAAGGAAAAATGCATTTAAATATCACTAAATATTATTTATTTAATGTAATTTTCACGCTATTAATTAGTAATTTTATGAAAGAAGCCATGAAAACACAACTAGGCCTACTTCACATATTTAAAAAGGCTCTATTTTCTTGCCTCCTGCATCACAACACAGCTGCTCGTTACCTGCTCGTTACCTGCTCGTTGTGGAGGAGGTGGGCAGGTGACTTAATAGAATTGAGTGACACTGAGTGTACCGATTAATATCACGTTTATAAATGACCGTGATGTAAAAATCAACAACACAGCACTCGGGAACCCAGGGAGGAAAAAGAGGAAGAGGAGGAATAATATGAAAAAGACACAGAGGTAACGTGCAGGGTCAATGATTTATCTGTTGTAGTTAAGATAGCTTGTTATGGATGGATGATAGTAACGTCAGTGTTTCCTAGCTCGAGTTAACATCATTATTTCCACTGTACTTTTATTAGGTTAAGATTATTCATGTTAAGAAATTAACCAGTGTAAGAAAATACACTTCTTCTTGTCAGTGACCACTTCTGCTCTCTGCACTGTTTGGTATTGTTTGTTCTGTTACATTAGTTATTTGTATTTTTTCATAAGAAATATTAGTGTTATTTTATTCACGTTTGTTTAGAAGTATTTTTTGTATCTTAAAATAAAGAAATGATGTTAAATATAACACAATATTTCTATAACACAACCATGTTGTGTTCCCAAAGAGTGGAGCAGCTGATGGAGTCTATCAATCCCTCCAGTTGATTACAATGGATGAACACCAAGTCTACAGCACGATCACGACAAACAAAGCGGTAACACACCACACACTAAGCACTGCATTGGCTAATACCTTCAACTCAGGCCTCAACAATGAAAACAGGCTGCTTTTATGATGAACATGACTAATGAGATATTAAATCATCTCAAGTGAATAGTCTGGAATGCTGTTCTTCCCTTTCGGCATTATAAGCCCTTCTCAGACTGCTTTTTGCACAAAGTGAAGTAGCTAAGCTCAACCATCATCACATCTTTGTACATTCATATTGATTCTTCTAAACATCAAGTTTACAGCAAGATCACACCAAACAACGAGGTGACACACCACACACTACTCTCTGCATGGGCTAATATCTCCAGCTCTAACTTGATCCTACCTGAGAGCAACACCAAACTCTCTATGACACATACTCTGTCTTTTATACATGCACAAACACACACACACACACACACACACACACACACACACACACACACACACACACACACACACACACACACACACACACACACACACACACTATTATTTAATTACTAATGAATAGAAGGAAACATATGTATGCGCCTCGACAATAACTTCCATATCTAAAACTAACCCTCAAAAATAACAGTAACCACAACGTGTCCAACCTGCTCAACACTATGATGAAGCGCGCATTGTGTGTGCATTGTGTGTCAGCTCCACTCCAGTACGGCTCACACAATACATAACACAAACTAAACCACAGCTTTATGTAGAAGAAGAAGGATAACTTCAGGATTACAATTCTGGATTACTGTGCCCAAATACTCCAATAATGCTGGTTTATTGAATGCCTAACAGGGGGCACCAAATATGCAGGGACTTGATGTGGCAAATGTTGCTATTAGATTCATATTAATAAATATAATTCATGATTATCAATGGAAATTAACAAAACTATTAATCTGAATTAATAACTATGGGGCTCTACCCTGGAATCAGGGAATTAAAATGGAATAGCACAGGAAGAAAGTTTTATGTGTCTTTCTCTAGGTACTGGTGGGCTGTCTGCAGCATTCCTGTCCGGTCGCGTTCAATAATGTTGAAGACAACTAGTGAGAGAAAAAACTCTTGGTGCTCAACCAGCTAGTTGCTGAATGCTGCAAAACTCTTAAAATCCCATTAAAGCTGGGAATATGAGACAGATGTCCTAGAATGCAAAGCAGGGCAAGCACATGAGAGACGAGGAACAACGGGACAGGGACTCCCTGCTGTTATCCCAGAGATCTTTACCGATTAGGTAACTGAGTCCAGGTTCTCCCTACAATTCACACCATGGTGTGAGGTACTGCAGGGAATTCTGGGAATCAAACATTTTGCAGGGCCTTTCTTAATTTCCCTCCAAAATACTCAAATCAGGCTCTTATATGTGGCTTTTCCATCATTGATTATCTATCAAACATTGTTTTTTATCAATTTACAAACCATATTCACTTTTCACCTTCTAACATTAAACTGTATTTTGTTTTCTCAGAATACTGTTCTGTAGCTGATGACCAGGGACACACGCTGTGGCTCCATTTGGATTCATTTAGATAAACACACGTATGGGTGCTTGGAGTGTTTAGAGTACATGTTCTACCTGCATGGTTAAGTCATACTATGGAGACTGATGCTTGCTTGTTGTTGGTGCATCTTACAAGCCTCTGTTGCATGTGGTTTAGCGTCATGAGGGTTGTGCCGCTGTGGATACTAAGAGTCAGATGTTTTAAATAAAAAGTATCTTTGAAGTATTTAAAGTTTTGTAATGTCTCTGCTATCTGTTTAAATTCTGAATAAATATATACAGTATTTCTGATTTCATGTTTGTTTTTTGGCATAATCAAAAAAATCGTCTTACAAGAAGTGCACCTTATATTCTGTGCATGGGTGTGTTTCACACCATTTTAAAGGTTCAGCCTCCTGTTTCGAAGCTTTAGGCCAAACTGCTGGGCAGTAATCGAGGTGAGATAAAACTAATGATTGAATTGCTTGTTTTATTGTGTTTTCTGTTAGGAAATAGGCATTCTTCCTTAAAATAAAAATTCCTTGGCTCATTTTTGCAACTATATTGTCCATAAAAGTTTCTCATCAATTGTTACCCCCAACAGTTTGGCCTCTTTAATCTGCTCGATGGGTTCCCCTTGCACAGCTGTTGATCTGTCCTCAGAGCATGTCTGGAACCAAATATCAAACTCTTTGTTTTTGAAGTGTTTAACTTTAGCCTGTTTTCCATAACCCATTCAGAAACCAGCATCAATTCATCCTGAAGCATTTTGTTTAGATCCTCACTTTCTTTTGCAGATACATACATTGTAGAATAATCCGCATACATGGCAATGTTTCCAGTTTTTTAATACATGTGGAAAATCATTCGTAAATATAGCGTATAAGAGCGGTCCCAAACAGCTGCCCTGAGGAATTCCACATTGCAGAGATTTGATAATAGACAAAGTACCATTAAACAATACACATTGTTGCCTGTTGAATAAATAACTTTTCATCCAGTTAACAGCTGAAGCTCTAAATCCATATGCAGACAGTTTAACTAGTAGTAGGTCATGGTCTATGAGATCAAAAGCTGCACGAGTCCAGTAGCTATCGTACCTACTAATAACTTCCTGTCAATATCTCTCAACCAATCATCTGTTAATTGGGTTAAAGCTGTATATGTTGAATGACCGTTCTTATATGCATGTTGAAATTCAGTGTTGATTCCATTTTCAGAGAATTAACACTGAATTTGTTTGAATACAATGCCTTCCATTAGTTTGCTTAAGACGTGTAAAATGCAAGTGGTTTTGCTACAGTTCGAGCTGACAGCTGTAGAAGTTTTCTTGACAGGAAAATGTTTGTCACAAGTAGATACAAACAATTTCAGAAATAACTGTAAGGCATCTTCTGCATTCATTAGTTTACTCACATTATCCCACTGAATATTACTGGGTCCTTCAGTCATGGTGGCTCATCTCTACCTAGGTGTGATAATCGTGGCTGTTTTTGCAACATGTCTTCAATAAATGCACTTTCACAAAGGGTTTTGTAAATTCTTTTATATATCACCTTCGGCCCAGCTTTAGGCACCTTTGTTTTCCTCGCCAGAGCAATAATGTTGTGATCACTGAAGCCTACAGGTACATATTCTACCTTTGAACATGTGCCCACAGAGTTTGTGAAAATAAGGTCTATGCAAGTTGATGAGGACATGCCTGAACTCTGGATTTTAACCCTTTTTGGTAAATTGACAATTTGGATTAAATTACACAAATTAGCTACATCACTTAGTTTTATTTTCAATGTGCATGTTTTGGAAAACCAGTCAATATTCAGATTTCCTACAAAATATATTCTCTGTCAGAGTCGATGATTTTCTGTAGCATTGTGCATTTTTCCCCTAGGTACTGTATATTAGAGCTAGGTGGTCTGTAGAAACAGATTAGGTTTAAGATGAGGTAGATGCACCTGTAAGCACAAGTACTTCCACGCTAGCTGCAGCTAGATATATTCTTGTTTTTACTGGTATATGTTCTTGAATGTAAAAGGCTACACCACCTCCATGTTTGTTTCTGTCATTTCTGAAAATGTTATACCCCTGTATAGTTACCTCTGAGTCCTCTATAGATGCATCTAAATGTGTCTCTGAAATAGCCATGATATGCACATTATTCTCCTGCAGCACATGACCTCAGTCTTGCATCTTGTTTTTTAGTCTTCAGATATTGAGATGGGCAATTTGTAGTCCTTTCTTTGGTAGTTTAATATACAGTTTAAAACATGTTTCAATTACTGCCTTTTATTACCAGTATTTTAATGTCCTATAAACTAAGGAGACCGATCAGTGTATCTCTTTGGTTTGACAATGAGTCTGTCAAAACTGATGATAGCTTTGCAACAATGCTCCGGGGTCTTTCCTCCTCCAGTCTGAATTTTCCCCTTCTATAAAGATGGAATGAAGATGGAATTGGCCTCTAGTTTCAGCTTGGTGGTAAACAGTTCAGGCACTTGTTTTGTCTCCTCCCATGATTCATCTGCATGATCTGAAGATAATGTTGTTCTTCTGCTTTGATTTTCCAGATGCTCCAGGAGGTTGTCAGACTGATTTGGTGTCAATTAAGTTGTTTCACACATTTTTCTAGGTCCATGAAAGTTTTTAATCAACATAATTTGTTGCATTCATTTCATCAATGTCCTTCTGAAAGTATTTAAACTGTTACTCAGGTCCTGAGTCTCTCTCATTATTCCAACAATTCTTTTGTTGGTTGAATTCAAAATCATTTGTGTGAAACACCAAAATGACACCTCTTGTGTTTTTATAATCTCCTCATAAAAAGTATTTTCTTGATCCATCATCTCTTTGAGTGTGTCTAAAGTCACAAGCTCTGGTTCAGCTTCAGCGGCATTCTTTTTGGTTTTTACGTGTAGCCATCCTCTACTTTGGTGTGTGGGTGACTCCTTTAACAGATCACAGCTGTTAACCTGCAGCTTTAGGCCTCAGGCTGTGCTAAACACAGCAGATTGAGTAGGCCGAGGTTTGAGAATCCCTCAGATATCACTAATAAAAAAAACATCCAGCACTTTCCTACTACTTAAAAAAAAAAATGGCATAGCATAACTTGTCAAAAAGATTTTAGATATTTAAAATAAATGTTAAAATTTCACTAGAATCACTCAAGTCTCAAATATAATCAGCTGAGGGTTGTGCTGCTGTGGATGTTAAGTGTCAGATGTTTTCAATAAAAAAAGTATCTTTGAAGTATTTTAAGTTTTGTACTTTCTCTGCTGTTTCAAATCTGAATAAATATGTATTTCTCATTTCACGTTTGTTTTTTGGTATAATTAAAAAAATTGTCTTATACAAATTAACCTTATGTTCTGTGTGTGTTTGTGTGCGGGCGTTTGCGTGTGTGTGTGTTAGGGAGGAGCTTCAGCTTAGAAATGGTGTGAAAGAGGAAGTTCTGGTCAGACTACCCTGATCATTTCTTTTTCTCACATACATTTGTTGTTCTGATCTTTGCACCATCATTTTTGACACGATGAAAATCTTTGCGTACACTTGTTGTCTTCTCTCTGGTAAGTTTTACATTTTAGAGCTTTACTAGAGCTTTGTGAATAAACTGCAGCTTTTCAGTGACTTACTCCTTTGTTTGTTGGCTAATGTCATTGAGTCAGTAAAGTTTGGTTTGCACCATTATTGTTAATAAAAAGAAATGTACATATTTAACTTTATTTCACCTGTAGCTCTGAGTGCAGTGCAGATGAAGACTGTCGATATAAATGGACGTGTCGGGGAAACTGTGACCATCAGATGCTCATTCTGGCCTTATATCACAGGGAATGTAAAGTACTTTTGTTCAAGTCCTTGTACAGAAGACAACACGTTATCATCAAAGCAGGATATGAAAAGATCAACCGAAGGATCGAATTAAGTTATTCAACAATGGAGAGGTTTTATCTGTGACCTTCACTGATCTTCAAAAGTCAGACGCTGGAAAATATTATTGTGGAGTGGAGAAGATGGGATAGATGCAGCTATAGACATAGAAGTGAATGTTATAGTCAAGGATGGTAAGTAAAAACTCTTTATTTTTATTTTAAAACCATCACCACTCTGTCAAATGTTTTAACTGTCCTTACAGCTGATAACTTAATCACTACTGTACTGTTGTGTTTGTTTCAGCTGAGCCTTCCAGTCCATTAAGACTCCAATAACAGTCACTGTTACTGTAACAACAACCAGCCCTGTTACATCTCCACATGTCTCTGATGGTTTTTACTGACATGTCTACGACAAACCAAACCTTAAATACCACAACACTGCCTGCATCTGTGACAAAAGGAGCTGGTAAGAAGTGCACACACTCCACAACCATTATTCTTTTAATAAATAGTTGTTAAAGAAATAAAATCGATCATAATATATGTATTTATTCATGCTGAAACCTGCAGTGTGCTACAAATATTAATGTCAAATTAGATAATAAGATAAGTATAAAAAAATTGAGACCCTGACTGATAAATGAAAAACAAATGTATTTCTATTAGGGCTGTCAACGCTAACCCGTTAGTCATTTGACTAACTTCATTTGCACGTTAATACAGGGTCTCATTCACCTTAAAGTCACGTTATGCAAACACATTTCACATTTCACCATGTTTCTCTAACTCTAACATGTGTCTCTAGTCTGTCTACAAACCCCTCAATGATGAGAAAAGTCCATCCTCTCCATCTTCTTCCTGCTCCACTGTTTCAGAAAATGTGTGCTCAAACAGGCTTTTTGGAGATTTTCTCCTCATGACATCACAAAGGGCAGTAGCCCCTCCCAGGTGGGTGACACTCCCACAGCTAATGTTTGTTCTGCCCTCTGAGTCTGCCGTCTCACCGTAGACAATAGGTCATGGAGTGAGGAAGGCCTAGCCACCCTTCCAGAGAGGGGGTGTGGTCAAACACAGCTAATATATATTTAAAGGAACAGACACAGAAACAGCCTGTTCTGAGCAGGGCTGAAATAGAGGGGTTTCACAGACATGTTTTGGGGA